CCGTAAAAAGAGACTTAATCTCATTAAAAGCCAACATAGTTATTATTATTACACATATGGAAGTAGTAGCTGGGATTACCAAAAGACGAAGCATGAAGACCGATAAACCCATTTGTTAGCTGCTGAAAATTTTTTATATACTCACGGTCAAAAATGACTGATTGGTTTTGCTATCAAGATTTCCCCCACTAGTCTGATAAATATGAAATCTGAAAACTAATTATCCGAATAAGTAAACCATTTTCCAAATTAACCTTAATGATGAACTGCTCTAAGCTGATTTATAATATCTTGTCTCTTTCTTTATTTTCTTTAGCTATTGCTTCCTGTAGAAAGGAAACTTCTTCAACGAATGGAATAGGGCTAAGGGATTATGGACAGGGCTATGGCCAATGCCGCCTTGTTGAGACAAGGGACTCTTTTTTAAACCCCGGATTTACTCCCAACTGGACAATTCCAAAGTTTTATGTCTATGATGATTTTTTAAAGCTTTGTTTTGTAACGGTAACGGAGAGCAGTGGGTACCGTTTTTATTATGACAGTAAGAATGTTTACCATCGTATAGGCCATTGGACGGGTATCACGCCTGATTCTATAGCTGTGGATGAAAAGGGCAATATCGTTGCAAACTACAGAGAAGACGGAAAGAGAGAGGGAACGGATTATTTTTACAGCCCATCGGGAGAAATGCGATTGTCAGTACATTATGGAGTTGTACCTATCAGGATCGCAGACGATAGTACCTTTTGCCAATTCGAAAATGGTGATCTTATAAAGAAGTATAACAAGACGGACACAATTTCTTACACTTATTATCTGAACGAACCATTCCAGCTCGTGGGTGATGGTAGGACAATGGATGATTTGCGGGATTATGGACGTGTGCTGATAAAGACCAGGCATCTGGTAAAATCGATATCGAACCAGAATGGAAAATTAGAGGAGTATGCATATGAATTCGACAATGAGCATAAGATCACAAAAGTTATGGTGACGGGCATG